GGAGGCCAACAGCGTACCTCGCATTGGGGATTTAGTGTGCCAACGTCAGGGGTGGGACTGCCGGATTGAATCCGATGCCGAGGCTTCGAAGGAGGGACCGCGAGAGAGTAGCGGTTGCCGTCATGGCTGCCGCAGGCAAGATTGCGGAGGATGCCTTCGACGCGCTTGACCTCATTGCTGGGTATCGCAGTGGGTTTGGGCAGCCTGTGGGCCCTGCGCCACTCGCCAATCTGGGACTCCGCATTGAAGATGATGACGACGATGGCCCGACCAATCACAGTCTGCTGTGGCTTTGGCCTGCCATTGTCGACATCACCAGAATCCTTCCCCGTGCGTCCCCTAGGTGGTGGGTGATGCGGCGAAGTGCTGGTTTGTGGAAGGATCTTCCCGATGACGACGCCGAGGACGACCACTACCTCAGTCTTCTACGGATGAGGCATTCAACTTTCGACCGTTTGCTGTGGAAGGTTGGCCCTCTTTTGGAGAGGGAGATCCCCAGATTCCGTCTCCCTTTGCCACCGGCCAAGAAATTGGCGTACGCACTCCATAGGTGGGCCCATGGAGACCACCATGGGCACAGTTGCTCAGGTTACGGCCTTGGCAGAACCAGGGGCTTGCCTGCTGTTATGGATGTTGCAGAGGCAATTGTTGAGAGCTACCCGGGTGCCGTGGGCTTCGGTGGGTTCGCCGAACATGCCAGAATGCAGAAGTTCAAGTCATTGGGTTTCCCAAATTGCTGGGGCTGGGCTGCATCGACTGCACGCATGTGTACGTTGACAAGCCTTGTTCCAAGGATGGGGACGAGTACTGCTCCGGAAGGAACAACAGGTTCTCGGTGGTCACGCAGCTGGTGGTGGACGCGGACCTGAAGATTCTGGACTTCTGTTACAGATTTCCGGGTACCGTCGGTGATGCTCGTGTGCTGAAGAACACGTCTTTGTATCGCCGCGTATTGAAGGGCCACCTATTTCTTGACGACGTCCACGACCCGTTCCTGGAGCAAAGAGACGCCATCCCGGATGTGCCTGGTGGGTACTTGCTCGGGGATGGTGGTTACCCGAGTTTGCTTTGGCTTGTGATTCCGTACGGCCGCCAACAGGTGGTCACGCACTCCATGGACGTCTTCGATTCGCTCCACAAGATTGTCCGTTCCGCTGTGGAGCAATTTTTTGGCGTCTTCAAAATGCGATTCTTGTTGTTCTACCGACCTCACGTTGCAGACATTTCGAGGGAGAAGGTCGAATTCCACCGTGTTGTATTCTGCATAATCTGCTGCAGGAGTGGGGGGACCTGTCTGAAGAAGATTTTGATGTGTCGGACGACTCTTCCTCGGACGTGCCGTCTGGACCGTTCCCGGATGCGAGAGAGGACGGGTGTCCGTTGGAGTTCATGTTCGGACGGGACCGCGGGCAGGCCATGCGGGATGCTTTGTGTGTTGAAGTTGTTCGTTTGTATGAAATGGAGGACGAGCAATGACCAGTTCCCGATCTCGAGTGCCACCGCAGACTGCCTGTTCGGACACAATTTTCATGGGCCGTGCCGCAGCACACTGCATTGGCAACACTATGCACCTCCCACTTATTTGCAGCATTCATTTTTCATTGACGGGTTGTCTGCCAGTCCCACCGAACACCGTGCGGTGAAGCCAGCAGCACGTGAATCCACATTTTCCTGCAGCCATGGCGGGGACCGATGGCCGTAGAGATTACGTCTGTGACAGGCACGCGTTGGATGAGGAGATGGAGAGTGCGGAGCGAGAGCTGGAACACATGCACAGGGTTCTGGTGGCGAGAGGAGACACCATCTCCGTCCGAATGCGCAACGGGAGAGCCGTGTGTGAAACGGAGGTCACNGAGCTGGAACACATGCACAGGGTTCTGGTGGCGAGAGGAGACACCATCTCCGTCCGAATGCGCAACGGGAGAGCCGTGTGTGAAACGGAGGTCACACAAGACAGTAGAAACGCGCTCAGGTGGGCAGCAATTGTTGCGGACAGGGTGCGGTCATCACGCTCTGGCCTGCAGCAGTGCTGCGACAATGTCGTGACCAGACACGTTCAATTACGGCGGGAGTTGCAAAGGTGGAGGAGGATGTGGGAGGACAGCCGAATGGCGCATGATGGCGCCGCTCGTGGTCTGCGAGAAGCTGAGCGGGAGCTGGCCGATATTCGTAGAAGGTGCGAGGTTGCAGAATCCGAGGTCGTCGTTGCGCGCAGACAAGCTGAAGATGCATGGAGATTGGTCGATGAAATTATGCGCAGTGAATCAGCGGTGGGGAAGTCGGATGGTGACGACTTTTGTGAAGTCTTCGAGGGATTATCGGTGAAGGAGAAAGGCAAATCCGTGGATACCTCCCATCATAAGGGAGCTTCTTCTCCATCATCACCTATGTGTCATTCCTGCGAGAACATGAGCAGCCGTCTCGCGCACATCGAGCACGAGATAGTGAAGCTGCAAGCCACGAACGAGATGCTGCAGTGGCCTGCTTCGGTGTGGGAAGAATGGGATAACGATTTGAAGATGTGTTGCGTCCCTCGAAAGTTTCCCCCTCCGCCTGGATCGTCTTCCTCAACCACTAAGTTCGGTGACAGCTTGAGGGAGTAGATACAGAGAGAGAGAGAGAGAGAGAGAGAGAGAGAGAGAGAGAGAGAGAGAGAGAAGAGAGAGAGAGAGAGAGTTGTGGTTCGATGGTTTGATGGTGACGACCATCTGTTTTTGTAATTTGGACTTACATTTTGAAAAACCATTTGTTTGTGTATTTTGGACTTATCCTCAGTTGCATTGATGGGACCTTCCTTTCTCTCCCACAAGATGTTTCTGTCAGCTGGGTTACCGACCTCCCCTTGCCCTAGCGCATCTCTCTCTCTCTCTCTCTCTCT